AGAGAGAGAGAGAGAAAGAAAGAAAGAAAAAAGAAAATAGGCACATCGTTCGAGATGATTCACTTTGCAAGAGGAGATTACGACGAGCTGGGTAAAAAACTAGTTGCGAATGTAGATAACACTGTCGGGGACAAATATCGTAACAGCTCGGACGTGAGCTGTTGTATATAGGGGAAAGTGAAGCACGGTAACCAGGTTGAGCAACTTTTGAGTACGATGACCGTCCTAGTGGCAGAATAGCTTAATTAATTTACCGAATAACTTTTGTGCATGGATTATTGCAAAACGCGCCCCGAACAAGTTGATGTTTCACTCACTGTGAAACGTATATAGACGTGCATGCAGAATAGAATAAACGAGACGAGACGAATACGAAGCGTGGCGTAACGCGAATTCCTTGTGTACGATAAAATAATAAAATAAATAATTCGAGTGTGTTGTTGCGATCCGCTTTCGATTCGTTTTCTTTCCCGCTGTAGCGAAATTACGCGATTTACAACCACGATTTTCCTATCAACAACGCGAATTCGTTGTACAGCGCTTGATCGTAAACAAACCGTAATGTAACCGCTCGATGTAACGTATAATCGCGATGGAAAATTGTAGCGAACGAGAATGTATAATATAAAACGTGGAGTCGTTAAACGACCGATTTTGCGATTTACGCGCGATATCTCCGTTCCAATTTTCTAAACGAACGCGTTTAGAAATTTGTGCCACGCGTTCATCCTGTTGCGCGATCATCATGCACGAAAATTGCCGCGCGAGAACTCCGAGTTCGAAACTCCGCCTCTCATTGCGTCATTGTTCTTGGCGATCCCGTTGCGAACGTTATCCCAACGTTTTGCCATTTGCTCCGCGTATACTTTTCGACGATCCCTTCGACACGGTTACTCGCTCACCACTCGATCGCTCGACGATCACTCGAGGGGAAGAGGAGGGACGATCGAATCGTTAATAGGGAGAGAACGGTTTGTGGGGACGGCAAAGAAGGGAAAAAAACTTTTTTCAGGATCTCAATCGATTGATGCTGATCGAAGCAGACAACAAGGACGCCCTAAGGAGCAAACGGACGATCGGTATCCTGCGTGAAGTGTTCCCCGAAATTTCTCAGGTGAGCCGCTGCTGAGCAAAAAACAAACAAAAAAAAAAAAGACGTGAAAAAAAAAAAAAAAGAGAAATCCTGCAGACGGCCAGGACCGATGAAAATCGATGAAAAGCGAAATTCACACACCACTCCCTCCCACCCTCTCCCTCCGTTTACCTTTGTAAACGAGGGCCGTGTTACGTATATATATATATATATATATACATATATATGTATATTTCGATAATGAATCGGACGACGATATGTTTCGACGACCGAACCCCGTTCGAGAGGCGATCGAGGCAAGAGACGAGGACCTTGAACGAGGGTCCCCGCTTTCCCGCATTAAAACGGGCGAATCGAGAGATTATATCGTCGAACGAAAACGTTTCATTAGTACTCCCCGTGTCGGTTTCTTAAAGCCGAGGAGAAATTGTTCGCGAGTGAATCGGCATTCCTCCCAAGAAAGTTAGTAGTCGCACGTTTGATTCACGGCTCGCGATGAGAGTTTCCTCGTTTCCTCCGTGCGTTTTCTGTTTCTCGATTGCGCAACCAACGCGTTTATTTATATTCAATTACCCTCCCCTCCACCGCGTGAATTGAGATTACGATCGCTTGAAAACCGAAAAGTTTTTCCAATCCATGGATCGCCGTGATCGAGCCGCGTACTCTTCCTTCGGGGAACAAAAAAAAAAAAAAAAAGAAACTGGGAGGAAAAAGAACGATCGTTAGAAATTATCGGCTGAAAATCTCTCATCGTCATCGTCGATTTTTTCGAACTTCGAACCTGCGTCGAATCATCCATCCTATCATCGATCAACGAAAGTCTTGGAAAACGATCTTTAACACGGACGACTTTTAACTCGACGACGATTAACGATACAAAAAAAAAAAAAAAGAAAAACAAATGAGAAACGACGGGAGGAAGGGTCGACGAGACGGAACAGCTAAGAGGTATTGTTTTCTAGATGATCGAACAAAAGGTGAACTCGATTGTCGCGGAATTCATCCGAATACTCGGGCCGACCCTTCTCCAAAGCGTTCTCGGGAATAGGCAGAAGGCAGGAGGGTCGTCGAGCGAGAGTTTGATGTCGAAGCCGGAATCGCCGTTCAAAGACGACGACAATAACTTCGTCTCGACCAGCAATGACGGTTCGAAAGTGTCGATATCGTTGCCCACGTTTCCGCCCGACGAGGACGAGGGGGCGACGAGCGGCAGCACGAGCCAGTCTACCACGATCAGTAGCGGCCAGGATGGGGCCAACACGGTCGTGTGACCAACTTGTGGCGGACGACGATAGATCGGTAACACGTTGGAGGTCAATGAAACCTGAACAGGGCGAAGAAAAAAAAAGAAAAAGATCACCGGCAAGGACGATCACCGCGCAATCAGGACTGCTGCGGGCAAATCTATCTTATTATTTCGTCCAACCACCACCACCACCACCACCACCACCAACACGTTCTCCGCCATGTTTGCTCTAACCGTGTGCGTTTCTCTCTGTGTGTTCACGTGTGTGAATATCATTAGTACCGTTTTCTATTATTCTTCCTATCTTTATGTGTTTAGCACCGATATCTCTCAGTCACCAGTTTGTCGTCATACTCTCTTCCTCTTCGCTCGATTTTCTTTTTTTTTTTTTTTATCTCTCCTCGTTCTTCGAAATTAATTCAATAATCGGTCAATTCCCCTCTCGATCGATCATCGAAATCGGTTCACTTTCCATCGACTCGTCAAATTAACTTGCTCCGTTCTTCTTCACGATCATTCGACGGGGAATGAACCGTTTCTTTCGTTCGAGCTTTTTCGCTGCGTCTTCCCCTCCCCTCTTCTCCAATCTCTCACAGGAATCGGAAGAGAAGAGAAAAGAAAATCTACGTAGAATTTATTACGCGCGAGTTCAATTCCATTATCACTCTCGAGCTCTCCATTTAAGCGCTTCCATTTACGTTCTCTTCTTCTTCTTCTTCTTCTTCTTCTTCCTCCTTTTCTTCTTCTTCTTCTTCTTCTTCTTCTTCTTCTCTCGCCGCTTGCCGAGTAGTAACGATTAAAAATCACAATCGATGCGCGTCCCGATCACGAGACATCGCGAGTACGCGCGTCTCACGCTTCGTCGCCACGAGTGAAAACGCAAGCTGTGTTTTTGTTTCTTTTTTTTTGCTCGTCGTCATCGAGCCAAACGAGTGAACGATATCGCCAGTTGAACGCAACGCAGTCTTTGGGAACTCGTCGAGTTCGATGACGATCGACCGATCATTTTTCCAGGCGTTGCTCTCCGACGAATTGAAAGCTTGGTGTTCTGTTTCCGGCAGGACGTGAACCCGGAAACGGAGGACAGAGCGAACGAGGTGCAACAGGCGGCCGAGTCGCAGAAGAACGAGGTCAAAGTGCAGTTCGCGGACGAGGAGGGTGGCGCGGAAGCGGTTGCGCCCCTCACGCCCCTCGACGAGGTGGAGAACGAGGACGACGAGAACAGGAACAAGAGGTTCCTTTCGAGCCTGGGCGGGTTGAGCGGTTCCGGATCGAGCGGGTCGGGATCCGGCAACTTCCTCTTTGACATACTCAGGGTAAGTTGTTCTCGGCCTAGGATATCATCCTCCATTTCTCCCCCCCTTTTTTTTTTTCAATCGATGATGGATATAAACGAACGAGATTAGAGTGATTCGTTCGATGCTTTGCGACATAGATCGGAATGCGATCGATCATTGCAGCTGAATTATTGCAAGTTTCAAAAGAAAAATCGGTTAATTTTTCTCTTACGTAGAACATATATATATAAGAGGAAAAGACGGTGGTAATAAATGTAGTCGATATATATATAAGAAAAAAAAAAAAAAAAAGAATTATACGTTGGAATAAATAATCGATAATGGCGAGATACGAATCGGATAGATAGACAGTTTAATGTTGAAGTAAGAGGCGAATAGGGAGACACAACAGGCAAGGGCGCCTGCTCTATCTAGCGCATACTAGGTGAAAGTCTATTGCCGACCGAATTGCCTGGTTACTGATTCCAAGGTTCCTGACCTAGGCACAACCCGGCCTCGTGGATGAGCGACAAGATCGTAACGTCCTCGATAGATGAGAAAGAAAAAAAGAGGAGAGGGGGTAGGGGTAGGGAGGGGGAAGAAAAAGAAAAAGCGAGAAATCGAGACGCGCTTGTCTCCTGGATGTGCGCGAGAAAGAGAAAAAAAACCTGTGACTTTATTTTCTGTGCCGCGTGTTCGAGGATTAATTGCGAAATTGATCGAAATTGCGTAAACGATTATTAATTTTTTTTTTCTTATTATTATTATTCGACTCTTTTTCGAATTAAAAAATTAATCGCGTTTTTCCCCTCCCTCGACTGATCGTGGGGAAAAATTGCGAATTCCTATCTTATGCGTGTCCCCTCGCCAACCACGCTATTACCATTGTCCACGTATGTTAAGAAAACCTACGTGATCATGAATAACACGCTCGAAACTAGTCGATAGATCGACCTCCTTTTACGGAGTCGAAAAACTGCCGTTCGTTTCCTTGAAATCTTGCCAACGATAGATTATAGGATTGAAACGGATTTTCACGTGCGAGCGCAACCTCTGTTTTAGATCTTTCCCTAGATCTCACGAAAACAATCTCATCTCCAAAGAAAAAAATACCTGTGGATCCGAAATATATAAATATAAATTATACACGTTCAATTAAAAACAATTGAATTGACAAAAAAAAAGAAAAAAAAACGGTCGGCTGGTCCAGTCCGTTAAAGAACAATTTCAGGCCGCTTTACAGGATCTTCGTGTTCGTCAACGATCGAGAATATGATGGCAGTGGAAGGGGAAAAACGCGGCAATCGCGAACGAACGAACGAACGAACGAACGAAAGAAAGAAAGAAAAAAACGATTAAACAGGCTGTTCTCCCAAGGAACGGATCAGTAAACGAAAGTGTGTCTGTTCTCTTCCGTTTAGCAAGCGGCCGACGGGGCGGCAAGAGCGGCGGGCACGGTGTACCGCGTGGTGGCAGGTACGCAGAGCCTAGGGCTCGGTTTAAGCGCTTCACGGGACTTGGGCCCGGTTCCCCAAGGTGCCGCCCCTGCTGCCGCTAGTTCCTCGGCCACGGCGGGATCCTCGACCAGCGCACCGGCCGCGTCAGGAGCCGGCAACCTACCACCGGTACGCCAATCCTTCCGAGCAGAACCGAACGGACACTGCCGAGACTACACTTCTCTCTTACTCTCTGTTTACTCTACTCTCTTTCTATTCGTCTATATTCTCACTCACACTCGCTCGTCCACTCGGTGAAGGGATTTCTTACTTACGATTTTCGATGAATGTCGAACAGAGGCATGGCACGGTTTTTAATACTCTCGCTTTTACTTACTTACTCTGTCTAAACTCTCTTTACCCGAGACGCTTTCCTTTTCGTTCGCACGACGATAACTCTCGTGGTTCAGGGATCTTTTTCTATCAAGGCGATGCATCCGTTTGAAAGAGAATACTTTTTTCGAAAAGAATTATATTTTTCGAGTATTATATTATATCTCGAAGAAAGTATACTTTGCACGTCTGTAAATAACGAATTTAATACAATCCTATATCGGCATGCTATATACTCTTCGCACGTGACTAACGATTACCTGTTGCTCCTTCCACGTCATCCTACTTGTTTGTTCTCCGTCTTCTTCCGTTTGCCTAACCTCTCGAACGTATAACTTGCATGTTCTCTCTCTCTCTCTCTCTCTCTCTTTCTTCTCTTCGTTTCTCTACTTCTTTACCTACCCGGCTTGCCTTGTGATCGTGCATGAATTGTGCGCCACCATTTAATCGATTGAAAAGTTGTATATTAGTACAGAAGGAGGTGCACGATTCGTCGATTTCTGTAGTAATGTAAGCTAAATCTTGTTAGATGCGATGCATCATTGTCACTAACCAATCCCTGTGTTTCTCACTTATTCCTGTTTTTCCTATATATATATTTCGAACAACTGAAAGAGTATCGTTTATGAGAGAATTTTCGAGAAAATACACATTAAAAGAGAAAGATACTTTCAGTTGTTCGATGGCCATGTAATATATGCGACACGTCTAATACTATCGATACCCGAATAAGCGATTCTTATCGATCTTTCGTTCCTTTCTTCCTTCCTTTCTTCCTTCCCTCTTTCCACCCGGCCAACAGTCCCGACGCGACACCGACAAACCAGCTAAAGACTAAAGACTTTCGGCGAAGCAACCGGCTGATGACGACTCGACTCGGAGTTTCAGGCCAGCCATTCATCGATTGCCGATCGATCTCTCGTTGTTGTTATTGTTGTTGTTGTTGTTGTTGTTGTTGTTGTTGTGATCTCGTACTCTCGTATTCCATCATTGCACATCACGTTGTATATATATATTTATATATATCGTTACATAAGTTAAACTATAATTTCGCCATTCGTCGAACCAAAGAGCGAAGAGCCGCCGCCAGACGAGTCCGCCGTCGCGAGTTTTCTTCACCTTTAGTTCTTCGATGCCGAGGATGCGTTTCGAGATTCTCGCACGGCCGAGTCGTCTGGCCGACTCGCTCGTCACGAATAATTCTTGGTAGCAAATTGACGATGCACGGCGTGTGACGCGCGCATGTTTCCTCGATCGATCGAAGGAAGCTAAGGGTAAGTAAGATTGTCGATTGAGCGTGCGTCACGCTGCCTGTAAATTATCACCGTAATCTTTGTTATCTCTCTCTCTTTCTCTCTCTCTCTGGGTCCTGGGTGAAACCATCTTCTCCATTGTATTATATTCGGCTGCACCTGTAGGCTGTCCATACGATCTCGATCTTTTCTTTACTCGAAGTTACTCACGCACGAATCGATTAGATGCAATCGTTCGAACGATTCAGAAACGTGCGTGTAAGGGGACGTCTCGAGCCAACGTATGGACATCCTACGTATCGTGGTGACGAAAAAAGGAAAACGCCACGAAATAACGTCACGAAGAAGAAGCGCACGTAAGGATCAGTAGCAGTAAGATATATGGATAGCCGAGCAAGTAGGAGGAGGTCAGGATGTTATAATATTACGAGCACCGTAGTGTCGAATAGCGCTGAAACTGGACTGTGGAGCCGCTGCTGTTGATGATGCTGTTGCTGCTACACTACACCAATTGTCTTTCCATTTTTTTTTCAACGCGATTCGACGTCTATCGTTCGTCCTCTCTATCTATC